GAATGGAGATCCCTGGTTTTAGTTCAATTAAAGTCAGTTACAGACCATGATCAGATCAAGGATCAGGTACAGTATATAGTGCATTCTCTGGAAATTATATCTATTTTATTCTTCTAACTCAGTCATATGTTTATGGAACATATGTCAATTCCTTATTACAGTGGTTCCTTCTTTTCCTATCACCATTACATGTAATGTAAGTATATTTATTAATATTACTGCTCCTTCAGGCAGAAATAATGGCATCTCGGAGTCCCATTTTACATGCTGATTAACCAGTAATGAGATCCAGTACAGAAGTCCACTATATAACTTTAATTCCATCTGGATAAAAACCTTGGCAAAGTGGAAAGATTCAGGTAGCTAAAGGCATCAATCCATACATTAAGCTGTTCTTGCACAAAAAACCCTCCAAGCTCCACGACAGGTTTATGACTGTGGGCCAACCATACAGAAATATCCTCAAAAAATTTTCAAGAAAACATCTGTGCCCACAATCACTTAGAAACTGATGCAAGTCTTAGAAGAGAAATTCGAAAACACTACTTTCCAAGACTGGATTACTTTTTTGGCCATATTATTCTGAATGATGTTACCATATCTTGAATCTGAAAATTGTCCATATGCATAAGTAGTTCTGTCCAACTTCACTTTTCTGATTTGTGTCTAGAAAATATCTTTAACAACCATGTGGTGCGCTTCACGAAATTCTTGGTGAAAATGATTATTTAAAAAAAATAAATAATCCCTTTGAGACAGCAATAATGTACATTATTTTGAACAAGTCAAAAATAAGGGACATTTTTATACCCCCCACATTTTACTTTCAGCCAAATTATTCAAACAGCAATTTAGCCCCAGCAGTCATCAGACCGCAGCATCATGATTTTATTAGCATCAGATTTAATTCTGACTTTACAGTTCCATAAAGCTGTTCAGTTCATAGAACTGTATGTGCGTAAACTGATTGGTACAGTAGCGTTTACAGTGATAGGCTAAATAACAGTTGGTATATAGCTTTGATTTATTGCAATAAAAGATTAGTCCATCTTCCATAGGAAAAAAAGCAGCCTGGCTTAAGCAGCTGCTCAAAAAGGTGCAGACATTTCTCTGTGTGATAAATGGAGGCTCCCCAAATCTACACTGGTGTTTTCACAAGGAAAGAAAAAAAAAAATAGAAGAAAAAACGAGTAAACCATAGAATTTTTTAAAAGAACTCTTACGATCAGCTTGCACTTGAATAACATAACCTAGTGTCAAGGCCATCCGCTGGGAATCAACGGTACTCAAAATTTTGGCAGCTGCAGTGCCCAGCAGAGGTTTCCCGTTGTATAAAGTATAGTATGTCAGTTCAGCTGGCTCCTTGGGTCCTGGAATACGCTGGATTTTTACCATCTTTCAAGGGAGAAAAAAAAAAAAAAAAAGAAAAAGAAAATGAGAGAAAGCGAAATAAACCATGTCTGTATTATATCACTGCAAAACCTGCCAGGAGCTACTTGAAGGCAGTGCACACAGGGAACTCCTTCAAGACCTCATATAAGCATAAGCTCCATGCAAATATTCTCACAAGATCAGAATTTCTCCTCTTCATAGCCTAGGCTATTGAGATTAGTGAGGACTGACTGCTGCCTTAAAATTTTTTTAACATAATCCTAAAATAAAACCTTATACTAAGAAAAGCATGCAGTGAAAAGCACGAAAGGACCAAATGTTTGGACATTACAGTCCTCTGTAAAGAGGGCATTCTTAAAATCTGTCCTAATACTGAAAACTATACTTTACTGGCATATTACAGTTGGAAAAAATCCCCTACGTTTTACTTCTCTACTGATTATTCTTGATCCTAGGCTGACAATAAAGAGAAGCACGCTTTTTCCATTTTATTCTGCAGAACATGGGCAGAATTTTTACATTGTACCTCTATCTTTCCTGAGAGTAGAGGAAGTGTCAAACACCTCTAATGATGAGACGAAAAAGGAGTTTTGTGATTCTTCTCCATTATGTTACTGACTAAAATGTGTCATGTTTTCATGGAAACTTTTTCAAAGGTTCACACTTTTGACAAGTAAAAATGTGCTCCTTCTTTTGAATTCTTTCAGTGGGAAAATACACAGAATTGTGGGCAAACGAGAAAAGTAGTAATTTGGTTTTAGATCTCACAACAAGCAGCTCTTGACAAACATCATGTAATTAAAAAAAGAAAAAGCAGTGACTTGTCACACAATTTTTGAAGACAGATCCTCTGAGCTCCTCACAACTAGCATCAGTTGGCTAAATTAGCAAGAAAACAAAATATGATCGTTTCCAAATACTGAAGGGAAATGTTGCTAAATAAGAGAAAGATGATTAATAAATTACTCAGGACTGAAATCTGTACTTCATAATGTATCTATGGCCACATGATTTGATTACTAACGTCATATAAAGACTGCTTCATACATTTTTTTTTTTTCCTCCGCAACAAAAAACTTGTAGCTGTATTGAGTTACCTAGGAAAGGAAGACCTAGGAAACTTTTTTTAAATTAAGAACAAAAGCCTGGATCTCTTCATTATGCTGAATATGAGACTTCACACTAAAATATGTACTTTGTACCAATCCTCACAGCAACCAAAGAGAATATGTTCATTAACACTGACTAACTGATGATGATTTCTGGAAGATGAGAGGCATGCAAACATGGCTGACTTCAGAAAAAGAAAGCCAGCAGTAATGCCATGCATTTTGCCCACTCTGCTTTGGTATTCACGAAAAAAAGACAGGAAATCTCAACCCAGTTAAACAGGAATTTTTTTTCCCCCCACACAAACCAAGACAGGCCACATGCAAACAAAGCCCTTTTTTCAACATGTATCCAGGCACAACCAATGTCACGTTGATCACCTGCACGGTGTAGCTGCCCACAGTAGTGGCACGTTTGAATCGTCTTCCTTGTTGATGGGACATCATAAACAGCGGCGCCAAACGCTGCTCCATTAATCTTGCAAAGCTCTGGTTGTTCAGTTCCAATAATGCAATATCAACCCCTTGAATAACTGTGGGAATGGAGAAAAATCACGTATCAGCACATTTTAGATGTAAAGACAAAGTAACACGTGATCTGTGGGGCAGTTTGAGACAGAGATGTACTAACAAGCTTAGAAGAAAAATAACCGGACACGGTTACACCCCCTCAGTAATTCCCAATAGGGATATAATGTGCTTCTGTTTTGGCTCCTGCACTGTTCTTCTCAGATAACGTCAAAGATGTGTCAGAGAATAAAACCCTCCAAAAGTATTCTTAGGCCTTCAGTTTACCAAAATGGCTCCAGCAAGAACCTAATCTATGATCTTCAATTAAAAAGTAAGCGGAAACCTATTTGAGAGCTGCCAATTTTTATGCTTATCGCCAGATGCTCCTGTTAAACAACAGTTTTTCGGCCAGCAGTTTTGAATTCTGAAGTTAGAATTTTGTCCAGCTCAGTCTGAAACAAAACACTGTGTGGATGAGAGCACTGAAAACTGAATAAACATTTCCTAAATAAAAATGAATGTAAAATTAAAAAGACACTGAACTTAAATAAAGTTCAAATAAGTGATATGGCATGCTAATTTAATTCATAGAAATGTATGTTTTTTCGATATTATTTCAAAAAAATCTTTTGTGACCACCACGACCTTTTTGGAAACACTGTTTCCATTGCAATATTAGTAATACTCCACTACAGCAAGTGCACAAAGGCAAGAAACAGCACATCAGGTTCATGGGGTCCAAACGGAGAGGAGCCATACCACTCCCCTCAGAGGATCATAAGCTCTGCATACACTTATTTTTAATCTCAAAATCTGTCTCTCAGGTACAAAACCACATCGGCTTTTGGAAGCAGAGCTTAGAATTTAATCCATTTCATGTCAGGCTCCTTTTCTCTCGCTCTCCTGAGTGTTAAACAATTCCAGGTACAGACACACCGATTAGAAAGCCTTTGGTATTCACTCACTCAAAGATGTCTGGGGAAAAGGGTCTCTTTCTTGCCCAGTTATCACTTCTAAAGTCGAAATGATTGTGAATGAGAATGTGATACCAGTTAAATAACTGTGATAAAACAAATATTTTGAAGCCTAACAGCATTCTCTGCACCTTCTTTTCCACCAACAGAAAGTGACATGCTTAATGCTTCAGGTCAAGGATGCAAAAACTCCTGTACCCAGATGGAGTCAGCAAATCATAACAAAGCTCCTCGGTTTAACAGATCACCTTCCTTCCTGAGGTATGTCTACAAGCCTCTTGATTTCAGATTTAAATCCAAGTCCCAGGGAAAAAAAAAAAAAAAAGCCTATATGCGTTTTAAAACTTAGAGGATAACTGCTCTCAGAAGTACTTAAACCAAAGTGGCATAAACTCTGAGGTGAGCGTTGGACGCAGGAGACGTCTCTGTTCAAGACGATGAATCGCAGTTATGCCCCAGAGTAACGTTAAATACATTTGCCCACTCGAATGCAACAGGAAGGTTCAGTGGGCAGCCACTTGTTTCTGTGTGAAATTACTGCACCGACGTGTTTATATAATCAAGCACTAAAAATTATTACCTGAAGTGCATGGAGGAGGGAAGGAGATTAAAAAGTACCTGTTATCACCCAGTAGTCTCTAGTTGACTCTGAGACATCAAGGTTTGGATACTCCAAAGCTTTAAAATAAAAGTTGAAATTAGGTCATAATATTCCAACATCCTACACATTACAGGTCCCAAAACTATTTGGTTAACCAGACACTGATAAATAAAATGGAGACTATGGCCCAGGAGGAGATCTAGAGGCATAATTTTCAGGATTGCAATTTCTCTTCTGTCTGAAAAAGGACATCAAGTGCAAACACTACAAGGCGCTGCCTTATAAAGTAGAACATGCATCTTCTGTTGACAAAACATTGGCTGGTACATTGTCTGGGGCAAAGCCTAGGACTGCCCATTACTAAAAATGATACAGAATATGCGCATGTCTATGTACATTTCTGCTACTTTCTCTCTGTGAGAAATACCCTGAGGAAAACAAGATGACATTCTACGGCAGTTCTACGATTTCATCCTTACTTAACCCAGCCAATCATTTTAACCTAAAATAATAGTAAAATAAATCAAGATCAGATTCCACTAATCACAGAGCACAGCCCCACATGAATTACAAGAGAGACTAAAAAAACTGTGAACACACCTTAGAGCATAGTACTCTCACTCTGCACCATTTAAGGTATTACTACCATATGTGTTTACATCTGTGAGAAACTGATGTTTGCTGTTTTGATGCCTTTTGTTAGCTTTTTCCATCTCCAAAGTGCATTAGGCTGTAAAGTTCAATATGCTGCTAATTCATTATACAGCTCAGTGGTTTGTTTGTTGTTTTTTTTTTCCCCCCAATAGATCTATACAATGCAGAAAGCATTAATACTCATTAATATCAACCTTGCAGGTTGATACACTGCTGTTGAGTCACCTTGATTTTTAAACTCCAGAGTGTCTTGAAACAGTAAACATCGTAAAGCATCTGATTATGCAGAGTAACTGCTTTTGAGGAGGGATTTCGTGGCGTGTCCCAAGCTGTGCATTTCCATGACAGACTGCGAAGGCTCTAGAGGAGCCGCCGGAGTCTACTGGGAAATAACACCCTCTGAGAACAGCAGCAGTATTTGCTTGATAAACTGAAACAAGTGCACTGCCACATGAATAAGCATCAAACACTTTTCAAAGTAAATATTTTCACAAGACACGCCATCAGTCTGAAACCATAAATGCTATGTGTGCACTAAGTTCATGAGTGTGCATTATACCTGCTGTGCTGGGAATAAACCCAAGAACTCCAAAAAGAAGCCATCACTTGTTAAAGGAGCACTAGCTAAGGACTTTATCGGGTCAGTTCATCATGTGTGGGGATCAGCAGCAAACTGCAATACCACACGAGACTCTTACTGTGTGACAAACGGCTTTCACAGCTCCTGACTACCAAGCATCCACATGTATTGCCTTTGTGAGAAGCACCATAATCCTTCTCCTATGCAACAGGACTATTTTGGAGGCCAGACACTTGAACTGAGCGCAGCCATCATCAAAACTTCCTCAGCCTTTCTCCTTGTGTTCCTAGATGCCCCGCGAAGACAAGTCCTGCACACAGGGCACTCGTCGGACAGGCTCATCCATCAGCCACAAAAAGGAGGGAGTCTGTCTCACGATGAATGGTCTACATCTCTTTCTAGGTCCCCAAGCACATTCTTTGTCAACAGCCTTCCTCTACCCCTCCTTGTCTGTGGAAAGACTTGATGAAAACGCAAGCCTACCCTGAGACGTGCCTCTTACCCTGTGATGGAAAGTCCAATTCAAAAGTGCACAAATGCCGTGCAAGAACTCATCATTGGGCAGTTTCACCTATTTGTTTGCAAACATCTGATTTAGAGAGCTAATGCCTCAAGAATAATACACACTCCTCCTTTTTCAAGGATTTGCACAATCAGACTTAATTTGATTTCTGGCTGCCTTGTGCCCAAGAGCAACCACTTACCCCACAGACAGCAGAGCAATCACTGTGCAAGTAACTGATGAAGAATTGCACAAGGTAATCACTGTGCTGTTGAGCTGTTTTCAAATAAAATGGACTGATAAAAAAAGGTAACTTGTGTTTTCCCCAGTGCTCACTTTCCAGTAGCCTGGTTCTGCTTTTTCTTAGAATCAGAAAACAAACAAGTACCTTAATAACGTTACCTAAAGCTACGAATCCACTCAGTTCAGTGTTCTGATCCTACAGACATATTTGTCTTTATCCTCATATGCCTGATTATTTCAGTAGTAGTGAAATGAAAAATTACACACTACTCCATCACTGGTTTAGCCTGATCAGCAAGTTGTTAGCTAACAGAAACTTAACCAGATCTTTACTGGTAGTCGAGTACAGTATTTCAAATTTAACAAGCATTTCTCGTGAAGATTTAAATATAGTGAGATCGGCCAAAACCTGCCCTTCTCTAACCACTATCCATCACCATGTACTGACGTATCCAGCATGTCCCTCTCACTCCCAGTGAACACGAATCTCCTTCAGCGAACAGATAAGCCAGCTCTACAGCAAGCCTAGCTTCATGTACTAAGTTTAACAAGCAGATTAAACAGAAATCCCCATAATCAAATGACTTGTCCCTTTATTCATTTTAGAGAAATTAGCATGCAGAGTCAGAGAGCATACATGCCACACAGGCTGCCCAGACACACACCCTTCTCTCGCTCTCTGTACCTCTGACTCTTCATAACAATTGAAATGCAAGCAAGTTATTGATGATCAAGTGCTTAGCCACGTTTTAAACTGAGGACAGAGTTCAGCAAATCCATCATCAACTTTATAAATGGAGAAGCGTAGACAGAGTTCACCCACTGCCCAAACACAGACTCAAAACGTGCTACCCAGCCCGGCAACTGAGGCAAGCACCAAACCACAATTTTGTTCTATTTGGAATATGGCACAGGCGTTTTTTTATTAATGACAGCATATATGTGTTTTTCTTCCTTATCTGCCAGTGTTTCTAGCAGCTGAAGTGAACACTGAACCCAGAATATCCTCCCACCTAATCCCCCCCCTCTATTTTGGGAGGGGTTTCTTTTTTTAAAAAAAAAAGTTTAAAAAGCAGTCAGCAAAACCCCTACAATCTATGAGCTTGACAATAAAGCTTATGGTGCTTGTAAAGGTCCTGTGTGCTTGAAGTACATACTTACATTCTGCAATGGTGAGAGGTGGGTAGGTTAGATAGAAACCCACCAGCTCAGCTGACAGCTGATTAAGAAGGTTGCTGGAAATAGTCCCATTTAGAGTTGTGCTTTGATTGTTCACTACATAAAACAGAGTGACAGCTTGGGAGACATTGGAGGTGTTCAAAATCTGAAACAGAGGTAAAGAAATAACATGTAGCTGTGTTTCAGCTCAGTTGAGAGAAAAATTAAAAAAAAAAGCCAACAACCAAAACCAGTGCAAACAAACAGGGAAAAAGTTAACTTGAACAATGGATTAGATACAGCTCGCTCAACACGATTGTGTAAAACAGTTTGCAATACTTTAACTCCTACTTTAGCACGTGCAGAGTTACTGGAGGACAGCACTAAGCAGAAAAGGTGCCATCAGGACTAAAAATATTTTTCCTTGTTTTTCACCAGGAAATGTATAGATGAAATGTTATCATAAAAAGTGTTCAGTATTTGATGCAGAGGAATTAGGCCTGTATGTCTTGCTCTCTTTGCTGCCTTTCTAGTGCAGTTATCTAGACCTACACCTTTTCCATATATAATAAAGGATATCTTGTCTCTTCTGTTCATACGATTACTGGCTCTATTCCCCACTTTAGAGCTGTGCCAGTCTCTTCCTGAGCCCAAATCTGATGACTGCATTTAAGGACCAATTCTATACAGTGAGTGCTGGATCAGATCCTCAAACACCAATTTTAAGCAGGAAGCGGAGAAGCAAATGCAGGGCAGGAATGGAAAAAAACGTTTTCTCAGAAAACTCACGCCCTAGGACAAGAAGGATGTTTTTTGGCTGCTGTTACTGTAGGTAGGGCTGACAACATTCAGCATTCATGAATGTTATTTAAATACCCCATTTTTATGATTTGGACAAGTAAAAATATAAAACACGGTATAACAAAAGCATCAGAAGAAGAGTTTAAGGTCAGACCAAAGGTCTGCCTAGCTGACATTCACTTAGAAATGGCCAGGAGCAGATAGTTGGAGAATGAGCACAGGGCAAGAGGACAGGATCCTTTTCTGCAGTGTAAGTTTAGCCTACAGCTATGGTCTGAGACATAGCTTATATGCTTGGGTTTAAAAAGGGTTGATGACTTTTTATTCTCTTATGTTGGGCCAATTGCTTTTTGTAACTTTCATACTTTTTCTCCAGCTACATTCAGCCATCTTCAAGATCTTATGACCCACTGTGTAAAAGGATTTTTCTTTTTATTTAAACCTGACTAGTTCTGTTACGGAAAACTCTAAATGATCACTCCTGATTCACTACACCACTTATGGTTGGAGAACTATGGCTGATTTAATTTCTCCTTGCATGGAAGTTGTTTCATGCCTTTTACCCATGTTGCTGCCGTTCTTTCTACTCTTGCAGTGCAGCAATGACATTTTTCTGAACTGGCTCCATCTGCTCCCAAACGGTTCCTCAGTTTTCAGTTAATCTAAAACCCTCATACTATTTTCTGTTGCACTCACTTAGTCTTTTGCATGGTACCAGAATAATTTCAGAAAAATTTATCATGAAGATCACATCCTTGAGCCTCTTACTTCCCAGTTTATATCTTGCCTCCAAGACCTCCATCCTATCACTTCCTAAGTTGGCAATACCCACAAAAACCACGACTACCATTTTCTTCTAGGGCTCTTTACAAAATTGCCTCAGTGCTTTGTAAGATCTACGACTTCTTCTGTGAGCAAATTAGCCACCATGAAGGTCCCCTCAGCAACACAGGTCCAGCTATTGAAAAGCTTGACAATCACTTTACCTGCTGCAGTAGGTCATCTCTTGCCATGCACTTTTCTGCCTCTCTGAGCTCCTCCAGTTTGAACAACAGCTGAGACAGTACCAGTACCAAAGTAACTAAGCAGAGCTCTGATGATCAATTTTCTCCTTCTGGTAAGCTACATGCAAACTATTCTGAGGAGTGCAAGTCCATACACTGCATTTTATCACACATCAAATATATATATCATAACATCACCCAGAAGATTATTTATTCCTGATGTATGGCACAGTGTAAGAGTGTTGGCCCACTAAACGTATAAAATTCTGCAAAAATCAGGCCCTTAATAGTGCATTTGGGTCTGTGAGTGTAGAACTGGAATGCACATCAAAAAAAAAATATATATATTCCATTAGCTTAGATCTTACAAACAGCTACACATGACACCATCTTTATACCTGAATAGTCTCACCAAGAGCAACTAATGTGTCAGAATAACATATTCAGTAAAAAGAAATATATAAAAATGTTCTTCCAAATTTATATTTTTATTTGAATGTCACCTAAATTATGGAAACTGCAAACAGTAAAATACACATTCACGAAAATAACAGTAACAGCCTTCCATAAATCATGCATTTATAAGTTTTCCTGCCATAAATAAAACAATCTTATTTCATGCTTATGAAAGTATAAACTTACTTCTGTAGTGGCTATCAAAGACTTCAGGTTGAAATAAAAGCATACACACAGGAAAGAATAACCCAGAGAGTTTGGCAACAGGCACTGGCAAAGCACACAACATTGTACCTGAACTGTTAAGTTGTTGCTGGTGTTTAAGACCTTTCTTTCAGCGTCCTGAAACGCCCTCTGTAACCGTTGCTCCATGGTCTGAACAAATTTACATGACTGTATATTGTCTGTTTGACCGACAAACTGCAGCTCTAGAAAAGGAACAAGGTATTTGTACGTGAACAAAACATTCTTGGTTGCATAATTCCTGTAATGTCTGACCACAAGATGCTCAATTTACAAATTAAGCAGGTGAAAATAATAGCGCATAAGATCAGCTTATGTCATTCAAGCACTGCACTAAACTAGCCTTAACTAAGACAAAACGTAAGAATTAAATTGTATTATTAGAGCTCATACTCTCCACAAACAAATGGAGATTGTTTCTGCAGTGATATATAAGAAGGTAAGACTAGTTCACTCTACAATACCCAGAGACAGGCAGTAAGTGAAATCATTCTAAAATACAAGTTATACTCTTAAATCTTGCAGATCATTTGCTCTTGCAAGACATAATCAATCATAATATCAATTCTCATTCTCTCTGTGCTAGGAAAAACACACTTAACTGGGTAATTGCAATAAGTATACATATACAAACATGTAAGCACACATGTAAGAAATCTTTTTACAGCTGAATACATCATTTTACAGCACTCTCTGCCCTCTCATAGCTTATCCTGTTCTGCTGCACTGCAGCTGCCCTGCACTGATGCTTGCTACAGTACAGAGGGGTGACACAGCCGCCCTGGCTCAGACGGCTGGATAAGGTAAATCCAACAGGTCCAGCTAGAACAACATATACATATATCATACAGTCATGCTTCTCATCTGGTCGTTCTTGAAAGAAAACACACAGGCTACTGCACAAAAATGCCAATCTTAGTCAAGCACATTGGCACGATTCATCCCTAAGGTAAGGCCATTCGTTTCACCACAGCGTCAACGGAGGCGACAGCAGAGACCATGTGGCACAGGGATGTACACACTGGCTGTCCTGCTTGTGCCAGGAGCATCAACACACGGAGCCAATGCAGAGCTTGACCTGCTGCTGTGCCGGAGAGCAAGGGCTGAGGCAGGACACCAAAGGGGAGGACGAGCAGCATCCCTGCACACTGAGCAGTAACACACACACACAACCCCGGGCACAGGCAGGCAGGACCTCGCTCACCTGTTTTCAGCTGGAAGTGATACGCAGGAAGAGGCTTCCACGGCAAGGCCAGGGCCGCCACGGACTGGAGATGTGGTACATGCTGCTTGATGTCTGCCGTGGCGTTGCTAATGCCGTATGCGAGAAGCCTTTCAATTACAGCAGCTGGTATAAAAACGAGCCTGCCCCGTGTAACGTAGTAACCAACTGTAACGTTACTTGATTGCTCCATGATTTCAATCTAGAACACACAAGAGAAACGTTTATTTATTTATTTTTAATTTTGTTTGCAGATCAACAACTATTTGATGGGACTTTTCATCCTGAATATAGCTCCCTTGCAGAGTTTTTATCCTATAATCCCCTATAAACCCTACAGGATCAATTAGTGTCATATCAGACACAGTATTAGCAGAACTTCTCAGAGAGCTTTAGACTCAGTGTGGGAAAGTAACTGAAGCTGGAGGGGAATGGGAGAACACTGTCCCCCCAAAATTCAGCTACGTCTCAACATAAACTGTAATACCAGAGCAGCTCTGGGATGAGACACAGCTGCTGTTCCCAGGAACAAACAAGGCCTACGTAATATCCTTGAAATGGGGAATAGAGTGATACAGAGGTATCACGGCTCATCCTTGTTATCCGGGATAAGGAATAGCAAACAAGGCCTACGTAACACCCTTGAAATGGGGAGTAGAGTGCTACAGAGGTATGACGGCTCATCCCTGTTATCAGGGATGAGGGGCGCCTGGTGAAGATAAAGATGAGCCACAACTGCTGCCTCAGCAGTGATGGTGAAATCGTGTCCTTTAGCTAACAAATCACACCTCCACCCTCCTCTGAGCTGCAACCACCCCTCACGAGAGAAATTTACACCAATCCTAATAAAGTTATGTATGACTAGAGTCACTTGAGCTCCACCTAAAAGAAATGAAAAAAGGTATAAAATGGAAAAAAGACAAAGGGGATGTTAAGGAGAAGCCCCTTCATCTCAACGTCCGGGATCAGTCGACGGGCTGAACCTCTCTTCTCCCCCCCATAGGGACACCTATTGGGTAAGAGCTCTGTGTTATGTGCACTTATTTATTAACATCTTGCTAGCTATTTAGTATTATCACTGCAGTATTTTAATTAAAGTTGTTCTTGTAGTCAGTCACTATGACCGGCTATCTACAAACCTATATTCTGTCATGAATTAAATATATATATATATATATGTTTCCAGAAACTTTTGAATTATTATAAGGAATTTGGCCCATAGTACTACTAGTGTCGGTCCCTAATAAGTGGGCGAACCCTCTGATTCACTGGGCTGCCAAGGGAAGGCAGGGGGAGTCGGACCCAAGGGTCTCGCCTGACTTGGGAAACTGGTATACTGGTCAAATTACCTCCTGTTCGTCTATTAGTGTGGAGTCCCACGATAAGCCAGACGAACCACCCTCCGATTCACTGAGCTGCCAAGGGAAGGCAGGGGGAGTCAGACCCAAGGGTCTTGCCTGACTTGGGACACTGATTGACTGGTCTTTTGACCTCAAAACGTGACACCCAGCCCATGCAAAATGTGCTCCGAATTGAAGCAGTGCAGTATTGCAACCAAAGCTCATGTACCTCTAATTTAGACTGGGCTTCATTCACGTATATATCCTGGGACATTTTACTTATGAATATAAAATCATAGATAATCCAGAGAGCATCCAGCTCCCACTTCATACCTGAAGTTCACTGACTTTGTGCACATCTGTCATTGCAGGTTTGGAGACAGATTCTTGAAAGACAAAAGTTTCCAATATCTGATTCTTCAGCCTCAACTGTCCCTTCTATACTATTTTTCCTATACTGTCCCAGATGGTTAAGCTATCACCTTTACGAGTAGAAATGACAAATCACAACGAACACTCTGTGAGCCAAAGCATGGCTTTGAGTTTTACCTCAAGATTCTGTATTTTCCAAAAAGCCTAAGCCCTGGAACGGGTCCTCCACACCAAGTTTTAGTTGGTTTCCTCCATTAGAAAAAGGGAGCTTCTCTCAAGTTTACGAAAAGGTGGGAGAATGTGTTTGACGGTTTTCATTGCTGCTGCTGAGACTCAGGAATATACAATTCCCAAACCGACTAACATTATCCAAACTTGTAGCAATAGAGCATGGGGACAAAAGTCAGCCTCATGTCCTCTATTTTGAGCAAAATTACTTTTTTCCTTCCCAGTGGCTCAGTGAGTATAACTCATAACAGCCTTGGACTCAGCACAAACCCCTGCCTGAGCGCACGGGAACCTGTTTTGCAGAGAAGAGTGTTCCAGTTATCCTCCTAAGCCTGCTCTTACATGCGGCAACACAGAGGTTTTTTGCAATTTAGCTGGAAAGCAATGAACAAGTCTCCTTCATTTATTTTCAATAAAACGTGCTTTCTCCCTGCTCAGGGTTTTCATCCCTGTGGAATTGCACTTGTCAGGTACTGGGTTTTCAAACCAGGGAGTGGACTGACAGCAGTGACACCCCATTTACCAGCCCTGCTCTTGCAATTGATCCAGGCTGAGCACAACGGCACTCGGCTGACTGTGAACCCGAGTCATTTCTGAGTGGCAAGGGGAGGACGGAACAGCTGTCAGTAGTCATTTCCCAGAACATACCAATAAAAAGTTGCATTTCTCCCTTCTAATAAATAAATAAAATATTTATTATTTATTTATTTATCTCCATCAAATAAAATGGCAAAAGCTTTGGAGTGGTCCTTATATTTTTAAAACCCCGAGCAGGTGCCACCTATAGGAAAAACCTCAGTACTCCCCTCCAAGAGGCTTCCTGCATCCAGAGATGCCACTGGAGCTCCAGCCAGCTGGGATTCTCTTGGTGGGAGATCTGTTCCAGTGAGATTGTGGAGGCAAGCCAAGCATGCTTACCTGAGCGCTGACATTTTGGTTGAAAGCTTGTCTCAGCACTTGGTTGAGCCCTTTTCTCACGCTCTCCTTGAAGGGATTGCTGATCAGCATCCTCCTCGTGTTCAGAAACAGAACTGTGGAACAACAAAAGTCACATGTTGGTTTGAGACATCACCATGCTACTGTCTGCTTCTTTGAATTGTTGTGCGTTGTGCTAGCTAGGTGGAGACCATCAAAGCAGTTAGCAATTGCAGCAGCTCCAATGGGAGCAAGAAACGCAGCGGCTCAGCAGCGTCCCCGAGTCCTTATTCATCCCATGGCAATAGCCCTTTGTTTCCAGACTGAGGTCTAATAAATGCAATTTCTGTAGCAACAACAACATGCTGCTGTTCTGAGCGAGGTGTGATGCCACTCGATTGCCTGCGGACAGACCAGTGCAGCATCCCCAAGGGACTGAACTGGTGCTGCAGAGGCAGGACTACGTAAAGGACATCCCCAAGGGACTGAACTGGTGCTGCAGAGGTAGGACTACATAAAGGAGGTGTGCTTCATACCTTCGCAGCCAAAGTTAAAGAAACAAAGAAATGTGTTATTCCACTGCTGCAATTATTCTCCATTTAGGAAGGGTCTGTACACTAATATTAACGTTATCACTAGCTTTTTTTCCTCTTACAACTTGCAGAAAGATTTTTATAGCTGCACTTAAGTACTTTCAATCATACGCTGTATACTAGCTACTTCTATCTTTAGAAATAGTCGTTGTACTTATCATACTACTGATGTAGCTATTTAGCAGCTGCTAAACACACATCAGGTCTAAAAGCTGCTTATTTCATTGTCCTCAGTATCATTCAGTTCTATACAAGATTACAAATCCTTTTACATAGCTATTATTCTTTGCTGATATCTCCAAGATCCACACATCTTCTGGCGCTGTGCTGTGCTACCATAAGGAATCCATATGAAGCCTGAGCAAGGGACCTCTCCAGATCCCTGTAGTTCAGAGGTCTTATGGCTAAGGAAAAGCTGTCCATAAAAAAAAAAAAACAGCTAGAGCCAGAAGTGGTACTGCTCACATAGAAAGCTCAAAATCCTCCTATTTTGAAGCATAAAACTCTAAATACTAACCATTCTTTTCAAGTGAATCTTTAATGATAGAATTAGGCATTCCTATAAAAACAGAATTAGGTCTTCATATGCAAACAGGGCCAAAGACTGAGACAGGTTACTGCACTGTCTTCTTCAATGACAGACTCCTTACTGCCAAGCAGAGACCAAAACATCAGGTCAAATGAGATTGTCCCTCCACACAGGTGGTTCCGCTAGATCCCTGCAGTGACCCACTGAACTTCAGGGCACCTGATTTCACCGCTTTATTTGACACATTCATTGTAAAACCCAAGCTACAAATAAAGCCAACACCATCCTTATACTAGCAACCATGCTTTCATCTGCCTGGTTAGTCAGTGCAGCAGCCTCATCCCCACGTTAATCACTAATGCCCCCACATTTTCTGACATTTAAGTGTATTTCCCACTCATCACCAGTTGCCCCTCACAGACAAGCGAGGTCCTTTCAGCGAATTCAGTGGCCCCACATACCTGTTTTAACCATAAGGTTCCTGGAGAGGCGGCAATCCAGGGGAGGAGCTGCTGTCATGTTAGCTAAAGCGGCTGCTGCTGTGGTTTCGGGAGGAGCAGAGGTGTTTTCCACTGGAGTAGGGGGAAGCCTAGTTGTTTTCGCTGATGCTGTAATAGATGTCAAAGCGGCTGTAATTGTCAGTGGATATGGGGTTGACGTTTTGGTGATTTCTGAACTTGTGAACTTCTGGGTGTCAGTTACTGTTGTTTTTATCTGCCTTGGTACGTGTACTGTGGGTGCAAGCGTGGAAGGTGTGACCGTGCTGCTTTTAGGGGTTATGAGCATAGCTGTCATGTCCACAGGTGATGCAGTTGTGTTTCTTGTTGCAAAAGGAAAATCTGTACGTGTTCCTACTGGCCTTAGATCCGATGCCAATTTTGTGGCAGTGTTATTTTTTGTTAGTGTCAGTATCGGTGTGCTTAAAGCCATCACAGATGGCAAAGGTGAGTTTTCAGTGCCTAGAGAAAAGAAGGAAGAAGCTGGCACTGGTGAAGCTGGAGATGATTTTCTTGTTAGTGGTTTTGCTTCTGAAGTTCCTACTGTAGGTATTGCACCAGAAGATACTCCAGATAACACTGTAATGACAGAATGGGTAAAGTTGGTTGTTGACAAAAAAGAAGAAGGTAGTGGTGTTGGTGATGCATGAACAGAAGTTATGATAACTGACTGCAGAGCACTGGCGGTAGGGGTTTGCAATGGGATGCCCTTGGTAGCTGTGTTAGATACGTTACTGGGAACTAGACTATGCCTTGTAGCATTTGCGTCCCACTCCTCCGCACTAAACGTAGCTGGGTTTTTATCAGACATAACCAAATAACCAGAGGACTCTAATTGGTCATCTGCAAATTCTGGCAAATTTCCAGAACTGATGTCCTCTTCTGTTATAAAACTACGCAAGAGAGTTGAGCTGGAAGGCTTGGCGATGGGAAAGGGGGACTCGGTTGGCAGTATGCTGTGGATGACACTGTGTTCATAGCTGGCTGAAAAAGTCATGTTGCCAGTGAGCTGAAAAGCCAATGTTGGTGATGTGCCTAAGAATTTTGTCAGTAAAGTAATCTTTCCAGCATCAGCAGTTTGTGATTCTAGCGAGCTAGGGAAAGCACCTGCACCGTTAACAGCAGGCACATGTAAAAGAAGAGGTGCTTCATGGTGCATACTGATATTAATGCCTCCAACAGTTAAGAAATCAGCAACATTTTCAGCTGTGCTTCTATGCTTTTTTTGCAGGTCAGGCACTGTCAAAGCAGTAGCAAGGGATGAATACTGAACGGGAGATGTTTTCAGTGCAAATGCATCTACATCAAATTCTGGAAAACTATTCAACTTCTTTCCAGCGAAGGGTGAATTTGAAATGTTTTGACTAGAGTTTGCATATGCATAGTTTGCTGAAAAGGTGGAGAAGAGCAACTGCTTACTTATATTCATCTTCTTTTGCAGACTTGAAACTACTGAGTATGGTGCGTGGTACTCAGTTTCCAAAGGAAAATTACTTGGAGGAGCTCCTCTTATTGCCATTTTGACTTCAGTTTTTACCGAAGGAATACTAATGCCAGCTGAAGACGGCACTGCTGTATTGCTCCACATAGAAGCTGAAGTTGCCACTTCAGGAGAGCTGACAGGATCTAAATTGCTTTCAGAGTCCACATCCAAAATCCTGGAAAAGCCGGAGCCATGGCTGTCCATCACCATTGTCATGGAAACAAGTGATGGCAGCGTACCCCACGCTAGAGGCATGACAGAGGCGAGAGGCTTTCTATCAACTGAAAGTGAAGTCTGATCAGACTTTAAATGATTTAAAGCCCTTAGAGGTGAATATTCTGCATGTGGAGTCACAACAGTGCGTACTCTCACATTTCTGTCCTCATTTGCAGTTACATCTGGACTTTCTCCAGCACCAGGTGGAAGGCGTGCAGTCACGAAGATATTAGTAGCAGACGTGTTCGTGAGAGCAAGTTCAGGTTTTGAAAGGCCCATAGTGGAAGTAATTAACAGCACTAGATCAGGACTAGTCATGCCTGATTGCAAAACCGTGCCTAATATCTTTGATCCTTTGAGGAGTTTACTGGTTTGGATATCCGGAGAAACTTTGGAAAGCTGAGATCCATAGGGCAGAACACTATTAGTATTAAAGCTCATGGATGTCTTTGCTGTCAGCCCTCTTGTGAGAGGCTGTTGAGCTGTCCTTGCCATGGGAAAGCCATCAGAAATTGGGAGACTATGTGCAGAAGCAGTTGGCAATAGCATGCTGTTTGCCTGATAAACTCCATCAGACAGGTCTTCTGCAAAAGTCTGTTTCACAGCCACCGAGTGCTGCGGTGAAACACTCAAAGGGATTTGCAAAGTATCCTCATCAGCTGCTGCTGCATTGGGACTGTTCGTGCGTGCTATCCTAGTAAAGGTGTCATTTGTCTCCGTTAGCAGTGGAGACTTTGTGCTTGTCGAAGAGGAGTGTGTTGCATTTCTAAAGAGCAAATCTGTTTTGCTTCTAAACACTCGTACTGGCAGCACTGCATTGCGAGCATGCTTTGCATCTGGAGTAAGTGATTTTGGCAATGAAAGAGAAGACATGCTCTCTGTTGAGCTGGAGACCTCAGCCACGCTCTTGGAAGCTGATGACACGAAAGGTGCACTAGCAGAGTCTGTAGTGCAATTAGTTAGTGCTGTGGAAGACTGAGGGTGACTCATTTGGGGTATTAGATGTGGAGTACCCACAGGATGGAAGACTGATGTAGGAATCTCTGCTTTATCCTGAAAAAATGGTGATGACAGAGAAGTGATATCACTATTTCTGTCAGTCAGCGCTGCTTTAAATGGCTGACTGTTTGGTTTTACTCCAGCAGAAGACACATTATACGTACTCTCATTAGGAAACCGTGACAGGCTTCTGGAAGTTACTGGCAGGGAAGACTGATATGTTTTTGACACAGGAATATCAGAGTATATAGACAAAAAAGAGGTCCTTCCTGAAGGAGACCCTTTTCCCACTATTTCTGTGAAATGCATTGCTGCCGATTCAAAGAGATGGAAAGGCATGGCACCAGTAAACAACTCTGGACCCTTTCTGCGATTCACCATACTGGAAGTTATTACAGTGATCATGCTCAGAGGACTATTTCTGCTTTCACTAACCTGAGAGCTGGCTGAATCTGTGTTGAAGAAGCCTTCAGGATCTGCAGACAAAGGTACTTTGATGGGCAGTACAGCTGGTTTAGAAAAGTTGATGGTATGAGGTGACTGAATTACCAATGAGGAGAATGATGGTGATGGAACAGCAGCAAGCATGTCTGATCCTGACGTGCTCTCTTTTGAAATGGAGGGTGTTTCTAATGGTATTAGCTGAAATGGCACAGCTGTACTCAAATGTGTCACTGATGGTGTAGTGGACAATGTGGCAAACATACCAAGTTGAGGCAAACCTGATACAGCAGCTGTTTCATCTGCATCTTGAGATGACGACCTCAGAGGCAACTCGGCTGAAACTTCAGCGGGTTCCTGGGATGCGCTGTTTCCACTGCCTTGATAAAGGGTGGACGACAGATGAATTTGATCTGAAGTCCTGGTACGTGTGCCAGTCAGTGTTGTTTTTATCATCTGAAGCAAGTTCACGTTCTCCAAAGTCTGTCCCATAGAAATATCAGCTACTGAGGAAGTCTTAGTTTCTGTGGAAGGCCGTGTTGGTGATAGTATAGATCTCCAATTAGGAAAAGATCCTGTAGAAGGAGCAACGTTGATATGCTGTTGCCTGATCCCTGTAAAATAAGTAAAATGAGCATATTCTTCCCCAAAAGGAATTGTTGTCTTGCTGTAACAAATCACAATACAAAATGCATTATGTTTAGTAAAATTAGTGAACTTTTGTTTTGTATTCAAAGGGCATAAAAACTCAGAGAAAGTAAAAAAAAAAAATGAAACCACCACCAAAAAAAACAGTGAAAGGTACAATGTGACAGATTATAAACTCCTCAAATAATTTTATTTGGCAGAAGAATAAGGAAAGCTTCCTAGACCATACTATTTCAAAACACTACTTTTAACTAGGATGGTTCAACATACTAAAAGACACCTTCTTAAGCCTGGGACAATTCTTGAGGTTATCCTCAGTCACCCTGTGTCAAAACATTACGTGAGAAGATGGGTTTAGAAGCAGTGTAGAAAGGGAATGGATTTTGACAACCAAGCTTCAGTGACTTGGCATGCAGTCTGACATGGGAATAGAGACAGCATTGGCTGGGTTCCTGTAGGATGCATCTGGAGGTGCTCATCTTGCCAGTTCTAATAATGCATGCAATTATAGACACAAAAGGAAGAAAATAAAGCAGGGATGAACATGAGAAAAGGGGGGCAAGATCCAAAACAAATTAGGAAATTAAATTCCTTTTTTGATATGTGCAGATGTACAACACATCATTTCAAACACCAGCTTACTCTACATTCAACACCATAATGTTCCTAGGCTTTGTTTTCTTAAAATGATTACAGTTATTCTAAAATCATAGCATGGGAAATCTCACGTTCATACTAATTTAAAGATTAAGATTCACTCAAGAGTAAAATTTAAGGGTTTGGGTTTTTTTTTCCCCCCTACCCCCCCAGCAAGACAATAGACCAAAACTCAGTACTGGCACTTGCTACCACACCAAGCTGTCCCCCTTGCTCAGCTAAACAGCACAGTCCCACCCTCCAACTCCAGCGCATCTGGATCAGACAGAGGATGCTAACCTCCTCCATACCCATAATGACACAGAAGAGTAAGGAGAGGAAGACTTTGAGATATACTGTTATAAAACAGGCTGGACATTAGTTCCAGTCACCAATAAACCCAAAGGTCAATAGAGCCAACAGCACCAAAGGGCACCAGCCCGCACAAACAGGAGCCAGCAGCAGAACACCGTGCAGCACAAGAGAGGAAAATGGGTCACACGGCACCTATTTAAAGTTTCTTTCTTGTGATGCCCTTGTGCTACATCGCCCATCGTCCATATGCGCAGGCCAAAGTGGATGATTAGCTCCTTCAGGCTCCCGTGTGCATTCAACAGGAACATGCTGGAATTATGTTCAGTGTGCCATTTTCACTGTACAAACAAAAACAATCCACAAAAACAAACGAACTACAAATCTTCCATTTTACCCCTCTATTTAAGAGTTTTATTAAGCCACGGTGAAGAACAGCCATTATCATCTCTCCTCCATTGAAAGGCAAGAATGAATACAGAATCCAGGAAGAAGTTGTTTCAGAGGAGCTGCTCCAGGACTGGAAACAGAACAGAGCTCTGCCCTTCGAGCAACTAAGAGAGTCCTCAGACCTTTCACTTAACACAGGATAACTCACACAGTCACATTTTGGAGAAAAGCAAAGGTAGGCAGACACAGACCTATCTACAGCAACGAGCAATAAGCAGGCTAAGGAGAAACCAAATCAGCCTTTATGAAGCTGCACCATAAGGTCAGCAGGCTGGACAGAAGGGGCAGAGCGCACCTGGGAACCTGACTCACCAGCACAAAAGTAATGCTTTTGTATTTGCATCGTAGCTGCTGATGTGTCATTGGGGTTCATGAGACCTAAATGACTGGCGTAGCCTCATTTCTGATATTCTATATGCTCTGCCAAATGTTGGGAGGCATGCTGTGATATAGACTGAGTTTTGGTGGCTTTTCCTTCCCTGTTAGTCAAGCAGCTTTTTAACAGAAGGTAGGAAAAAAGATGACATCTATTTTGCTCAACTAGAACAGATTCAAACATATGCTTGAAATTAAGAACTAGACGTCGTGCTTTGCAAAATCAGGCCTTAAGCAACCTGCCGCTTAAATTTCTGTGAGGTCATCTCAGCTGAAGAAGTCATCATTACCCGATCTGCCACACCTCAGCCATCTTGTTTCACCTCTGAACTGAAAGGCTGTACTGAAAAGTGAATGCAAAGCCTTCACAGAGGATTTCATCTAGCACTTAGCGAACACGAGTCCTAAAGCGGAATTAAACAAGTCAATGTTTTCTTGCTTTCTAAAATAGCAAAAGCTGTCAACATCAACCCGCACACAGTCTGCACCAGTCTCCATATATTTCTTCACACTTTAGTTTAATGAGAATGATTATGAGCGGAGAGACAATATAAACCTGAAAAAAAAATGTTAAATTGATGTTACCACATTTTGATAAGAAGTAAAGGAAAGTTCAAATAACACAAAGAACATAAAACACCAAGTAAAAATGTCCTCTAACCACTGCTTAATTCTAGTTCTTCAGTTCTTGTTTCTTCCTTTCCATACCAACTGGCAATTTTTTTTGTTTACTTCCATTAATGAAGTAAAGCTCTTGAGTAATTGAAGGTTAAAAAACATTTAATATTCTGCAACCAAAATACAATGCTGGTATTTCACTGTCACAAATTTTATTTGATTCTACGTTTATGGAAAGATACTGACTATCAGTATCCATTTCAAATGTCTGCCATAAATTCAACATCCTGGTAGTGACTGGACACATCATGCAAAAGGTAAAATTATCTTCCCAATACATGGAGTTTTTAACTGAAGGACATACTCTTCACTTAATAATCGGTAGGATGATATCAACAACCACAGATCCTTATCAAATACTGTGCAAACCAAGATTATCATGGAAAAAGGGCAGACATGGGAAAATATTGCAATTCTACATCTATCAACAGCTGAAAACACTTGACGAAAGGAAAAGACAATCAACCAAATCAACATGAAAGTGTCAATGAGAACTCCATCCCACGTGCACTGTGCACCAAGTCATTGCTTGTACATACCAGTAGCTGTTTCTCACATCTCAGGATTACCTGTTATTCTTTCATATTTTAGGCTATTGACTAACCACCACCTCCAACAAGCCTAAAACCCATTTAGCAGTAACCTCATTACAACAATCATTGATTAGGGATCTCTCCACTTACAGTAATGAAAAACATCTCCAATATGCCACAGCAGGAACTTAAAAATTGGTCGTTTAGAGAAAATCATGGCTTTATAATTTCTGAGCCCTTTCCCACACACGTAAAGGAGCAACAGGGACTAAAGAAGAGCACAGAGGTGGCCAAGAGGAAGACTAACATCTCCCCCCGCCTCCCCTCTACTAAAGAAAAAGGGATAACAGCAGGGAGTACATAAGCATATGCACCTTGTGCCTGTCCAAAGGTTGAATATGATGCATATGTTTAGTTAATTCATGACAGTAAAAAAGGATAAGGAAGTTGTGCACCTCTGCAGCAAGAAGTCTCACTTTTTGTCCAACTTTTGCCCTTGCCCCTGAGACACCGCAGTTGCATGTTATTCTTCACAAAGGTTTGATTATTTCTAGTGAGACAACTAGTCGATAAGCAAATCTCCCCTGGAAATAGTAGCGGCTAATGAAAGCACCTGTCTATTTGCCATGCCTGTAAGAGCTTTATTTCATAGAATACCTCAAGCTGGAAGGGAGGGATCCATACGGATCATCAAGTCGGAATGCCTGCTCTTTGCAGGACTACCTAAAACTAAGCCATATGATTGAGAATGTCCAGTCGCTCCTTGAACTCTGACAGGCTTGGTGCCATGACCACTTCCCTGGGGAGCGTGTTCCAGTGATTGACCACTCTCCCAGTGAGGAACCTTTTCCTAATGTCCAATCTGAACTTCCCAATGCAGCTTCATTGCATTTCCTCATATCCTATTGCTGGTCACCAGAGAGAGGAGATCAGCACCTCTCCCTCTGCTGCACCCCTTGAGGAACCTGTAGACTGTGATGAGGGCACCTCTCAGCTTTCTCTTCTCCAAGCTGAACAAACCAAATGACCTCAGTCACTCCTCATAAGTCTTGCCCTTGAGGCCTTTCACCACCTTGGTCATCCCCTTCTAGACACACTCTAATATTTTGATGTCCTTTTCATATTGAGGCGCCCAAAATCACACACGGCACTTGAGGTGGAGTCGCACCAATACAGTGTACAAAGCAATCAAATTGCTTATCTGTGCTGTTGATATTTGAAACCATGGTCCTGTTTACTTTATGCCATAATAAAGCAAAGCGTTTTGTGGATGCCACAGCATGTACTCCCTCTCGTCTGCCCTGCCTGACCACCTGTGGGTGACCAGCAAGAGCAGCAGCCATGGAGAAGCCTGTAGGACCGCAACAGCGAAGCTCCTCTCAGGACACGAGTATCTGTTTATTAACATGCTCACAAAATGAATTCAGCTCCAACAGAACTAAAAAAAAAAAAACAACCAAAAGGTCAAAATTCAAACATTTCCCTCCACAAAAAGGCTAAAAAAAGTTTCAGAACCTCAACTGAGTAACAGCCTATAACTCTACCAAAGGAAACACAATGACTATCCAGAGCTTCCCTCCCACTGTCATGGCAGACAAGAAATACCGTTCTGCTACTTTCAAACCATTACAGAAGATGAACTTAAAAAGGTATCTTCAATGACAGATTTTTCCTGTCTTAACTTCCATTTCATTACTCACAGATCATCTGGGTTAGTAACATTTAAGAGTGAAACTGATAAAAAAGACATTTGAAAATTTTATTGTATGACTAACCAGAACATCTTTGCATTATACATCAGGTATATATCCTTTCATAACTTTGAGCATATTGAAGGCAGGATTTCAATTTTCAGATGAATTTACTTTAATCATTAACTTCTGAGACAAAAAAAAAACCACTAATAATAATTCCCTACTGCTATTAACTATTGTAAAGGCTAAATTTTAATAACAGAATAGTATCTACGTAAGAGTGACTATAGCCATCTAAAGCACAGCATAAATTCACACATTAAATTACATAAGCAATCTGGATTTTATACAGGTCTAAATCAATCAGCCCTAAGGCAAAGTAATTCCAAAGATAATTTGAAAAAAAAAAAAATCAGCTTGTGAGAAACACAATTACTTACAAACATACATAAAAATAACAATCTACTTACAAGATGAGTACTGTTGAGAGACATCATTTGCCACTTTACCCCAGTCTACACAGTATTAGATAGCACTATTCTAGGACTGCATCACTTCTTGAAAACAATGCCACTATTATATCCAAAAATGCATATTTTCAATTTTTTTTCCCCTTTCTCAAAAGTATAAAGTTTCCTGCTTACTATTGTTTTACCATGAGAGACTGAGTGATCAGAGGTCAGATGTGACTGGTAGGAGATACAATAGGGAAATAAACAGAAGAATCTGTTACACCAGTGGAAAAAGGCACCACCCAGCTCACAGGGTCATGCAATTTACTCCTCTTGAAGAATATTAAGCCTACATAGTATGATGCTAGCACCAATATGCATGTTATCTGAGCCACTTCAGTTTCCTAAAAGTTGTTTTTAATTCCTTAAGAGTTTACAATTGAAAAAATGGCACAAAGAACACAGATTTCACAGGTCAAAGGATATGAAACATGCTACCAATAAAAGACGCAAATACTCAACAAAGCGTTGATGAAAGTAGCTATGCAGCATACCAAAGTTTCACTGGTACTCACTGTGCAGAATGATAAAACTTAATTATGCCTTCATAATACCTGTTATTTCAGCCTTACATTGATTAAAAGATTGCATCACAACCTATGCATCCCACACCTTCAGCACCATTCCACAAAGACGTTTGCAGCTTAAATTCACACCTTTGCATAACATTTAACCTGTAAGTGACTTCTAGCCACATCCAAAAGCTTACCTACAAACGCACATCCTGAGCTCTGGTTCACACCCCTGGGCCATGCCTCTTTCTGGGGTGGGTGTGCTTTGGGTTAGCCCTCCGAGGAACCTGCCCAGAGGGACCACCAGGCTCAGTCAATGCACTGGAAGGGAGAGCACACCAATACTTGCATTTTTGGCAGCTGCCAACTCACAGCTTGTATGGCAGGAACGGATGGCAGAAAAGCAGAGAAAACTGCTTCCTTGGGACTGCACTAACTTTCTAAAAAGAGCAAAGGTAAATAACCCATCAAAATAAATCCTGTTCTGTGACCTCCTTATTATCTACTTCTTCACACAGATTCTGGGAAAAGTTTACAGTAATTCGGTTGACTGATTCTCACATTTGTCACAGCTGTAACTTTTCCCAAATTAGACATAGACCCTCCAAACCCAAAATTCTGACCTGGAAGATTAACACACAGATCTTTTTTACCAACATCTGAGGTTGTTCTTGTCCTAGCCTTTATTTACCTGTAACAGCCAACAGCTAGAAGAGCCAGTCACTAAAAACAAGCACTGTCTCCCACCAAAAGCAGCCCTCTTCCCAGTGATCTTAAAAAAACAATATCTTAAAACTATTATTAAACTACTTTTACAACCAGGAACCATATTTTGTCCCCATACCACCAGAATTCTGTTTAAACGAAACACTTTTTCCATGAGAGGAGGTACCACACTGCACAAAGTTTTCTTTGAACAAAAAGAATGTTTGAACTTTATAACGAAGAACAGAAAAACGTTTGGACACACTACTCAATCATCTCAATTGCACAGCCATAGTTTTGCTTATGTGCAAAATCAAAGCAACAATCGCTTCTGTTAGAAAAATTTGTGCACCTTCCGCTCTCTCATACACAGATTTCCCTCTGGGTACCAAGGGAAGCACACCAGCATCGAAGGCCACCTTTTCCCTATGAAATGAAAAATAAAAGGCTGCAATGAAAACCTGCTTCTCTCCTGCTTTCAGTGTCTCCCACCTCCATTGCTCACCCAGTCCAAATGCAAGCTGGCTGGGATATGGGAGAGCAGAGCTCAGCCTGCAAATGCTTCACGGCTGTCATCAACATCCCTTCAGGAATCGACAGACTGCTGTGACTTGTACCAAGTGCCAGCCTCGCCTGGGGGCGAAACGTGTCTCAAATGTGTCTCCTTGGCCACCCAGGCAGCTCTGCTGGGACGCTTTAATTGCATCCAGCAAGCGGGGATGGAGGTGAAGAGCAGTATGAGAGATAGTGGATTAGCCAGGGTAAAAATCACACACTCCTGTCGTCGAGGAAACAACTCCGCCACCGGCAATTCCAGCTGCATCATCTGGATCTTGTATTCACAGAGCAGATGCTCAACTGGATCATTAGGAACTGCAGGAAAGGAGAGCGTGGCAGAAGAGGATTTCATCACCACATGGTGCTACACAATAATTGCACATAATCATACAGAAATCGGAGTGCTATGGGGGCTCTCATCCTTGCTCCCACTGAACGTACCCATCACCAATTCTGCTTGAGTCTATCATATTCATAGAATTTAAGTGAATGAATGACGTGTTTATTTTTTATTTTACTTTTATTTTTTATTAAGCAACACTTTTAGGATCAATGCTTTTGTGAGCCTGAGAACCTGCTTTAGCACACTGCGTATCTATTTATTTGTAAACACACATTTATACAATCTTCTGCAAAGGAATCGTGTTTATTCCGAGAAGTTTATATACACAGTGCTAGCATCAGCATAAATGATATAATGAACAAAGTAGTAAAAAAATTCAAGGTCATTTGGGAACATGCACTAACAAAGCTGCCAGTTCTCCTGATTTTACCTTGAGTCTTACAATATTTGAGGGGCTTTATTACTGGGGGTGGGGAGGGAAGACAACACAGAAAAACTTGATCCCTTAAGTGAAACAGACTGTATTAGTATTTCAGCTTTTGGTCTTTACATGAAAATTCTGAATTCTCGTGGTCATAGGATAAAACCAAACTAAAACATTTTAAAATCACATGATTTTTAAGCAAATCACACTTTCAGAGGACTTTTTTTTATTTTTAGATTTAAGGAGTTAGGACACACTACGAGAGCGGTATCAAATTCGAATGAGCATGAGAAGAGTTTTGGGGCTAAACTCTGATCTGCTTAGACTCTTTAGGAGTTAGGCAGCAAAGTACAGGAAATGTGGACTCAGCTTATTTTTTCCACTAGTAGTTACAAGTCAATGATAGCACAGCTTTCTTATCACAAGCAATACAAACTTATTTTCTTAACTACAAGCTACTCCTTTAATAAAGCTTTCAGAGTTTAAACTCCCTCTGCAAAATCATATATAAGAGGAGACTGATGAGAATCCGTGCTAAAAGCCATGTAGATTATTCTACAAAGAAAAAAAAAAATATCATCTCCAGAACTTTTTTAAAGAAACAATAGTGCTTTTCAAAAGGTTGAACTGTGCACCATATTACATAATACGATATATTTTTTGACATGCTGGTTGGGTAATTGTGAATGTTCCCTTGAGCCAAAAAGCTTTCTGCTCACCAAACCAAGCACATCAAGGGAATCTTTTTTGCACGTAACATTTGAGGCTGTAATCTGAGAGAGGAGAAGACACTCTGGACCACGGTCTGGCAGCACTAGGATGGCAACTCACTCAATCCACTGCAGCAGCGGCAGCTTTTGCCGCATGGCCTCACACTCCACTCCCATGTCGGAGGAGAGACACTCACTTTAGTGAGATGTTAATCCTCTCTAAGGAGAGATATGGTCTCAGAGGCATCGTGTTTACGGGATCAGTACAAGGACAGAGGTTTCCACAATGCCTTTCACTACTCTCAAGCTCTTTCCACTGCCTGTGGCCTCTGACTGTAATGAAGGATAAAGAGGTGAAGAGCAGGAAAGAAATGTAGGTCACACAGAGAAACATCCTGCTTTCTCTATCTGCACAGCCCTCAGTACTGCCCCACTGATAACGTTTTCAAAGTATGACAGTCATTGCTCTTAAAAAAAATTTAAAATAGAAAATCAACTTGTTATTGATTTTTAGATCAGAAAAACTTCTGGTCGCACTAAAGAGAGTGTCCGAAAAGACCATTCAATCTTTGAAGTACCATAAATAACATTGCATTTTTAAAAATGCAACAAAAAAAAATAATCAAGTCCAAACTCTATTCTCTCTTCAATATTTGCGCCAAATAACCAGTGTTTATCTATCCCGGTACACAATGCAAATTCTGAATTCAAAAAAGCAAAGTTTATTACTTGGCTCCAGAATGCACAAAGGTTAAATCAGTGAATGTATAAGATCCATTATCAGGAATGAGCTAATAGACAAATATAGAATAGAAACATGGCACATCCTTCTCTCAAGAGGACTCCTCTTTGTATCAATGAATGAGGCTACAAACATCAGTTCTTGCTGAGAAAGAGTCCACATAAAATGGATGGTTTTTTCTTAGATTAGAGAAATTCTTTTCCTGAGTAGGCTTGATAGCACTGAAGGTAAGGGACGCAGAGAGCTGCTTTTTAAGGCTTTAGGATTTGTTTTCCTCTCCTCTCACCACTTAAAGAGGGATAGAAGCTAGGAAGAAAGCCTTATACACATCATCTTAATTTGTTCTTTCTTGTGTACTGACTTTTCAGAAATTATCAATTTAAAGGCAATTCTTTTTGTAAAAAAAAAAAAAAATCTAATAATTTTTTTAGTCAATATTGCCCTTTGATTCCCACCTTTTGCAAACATAGCAAGGGCTCCCTCTCAAGAGGGGGTAAATCACTTTCCTGTGAAGGAAACTTTCAGCTTCCAGGGAGCTGTCAGAGAACTTCCTGAGGTCAAGTCAGGATGACGGAGCAGCAACTAAATTCTTCTGAACGACAAATCAACCTGCAACTTTGCTATGACCTGCAGTGGATATTCAACATGAAGTGCAGTATACATTACAATTCAAAATTACATCGTAATGAACTACGCATATCAACTAGGTAATTAATTCTTAAGCTCCTCATCTACTTTACAGTATATGAGGGTTTGGCTCAAGCTAGAAACTATCATGCAAACGTTTAAAAATTATTTCCATTTTTGATGACTTTCACTGTGCTTTGCACAGCTCATTAGCTTTTATTTTCGGGATCTTTTATTTGCTGCATAAAAGTAGCAATAGCTCAAGTTTATAGCAATATGTTACCTCATTTCACTTTCTCACCTCTTGGAAGTCACTGCAAATACTTGTCTGACAGGACACTATGACTGTCAGTAATAAAAAAAAAAATCAACCCCCATTGATGGAGTACAAGAAGGTAAAAGCACAAAGGGGGGGTCCAGTCGCTGGTGATAAAAAGGTTATATAATTGCCTGGTCAAATCTAACTTTTCAGGTCATTAATTAAAACCCACAAGAAATGTCATACAAATGCAAATCTATGGTATCTGCTTCTGAATCTGAAAAATAAATAGTAAGTGTTGGCAGCCTCGGGGGTTCCCAAGAATGCTGGAGAAATATCCGAGCTCCCAGTCCAGCTCCAGGCTGCCCCACGAGCAATGCACCCTCAGAGCACGACCAGGATGCAGATGCCTGCATCTACTCCTCACCTGTTTCCCTGCAAAAGCAACGGACCTCTCTGCATCCTTCGGAAAGCCCCATCCCTCAAACGGAGTGCTCGGTCCTGTACAGACTGTACCCCTGCACCTCTCTGACACATTCAGATACAAATTATATATTCTACAGTGGTTTAGTATTTAATTTACAGGCATCAACACATGAGCACAGGCATCAAATGTAGCAAACCCAAAGTTCACAAAGACCCAAACACAGGGATGAAACAAGGAGATGTACTCACAGACTGTAGCTCTGCTCTTGCATTGGCTGCCTAAACACGAAAAACGTCAGTACTAATCAGTGATGTGGTATTAAAAAGTTCATTCTTCTCCCTAAGTTAAAGGTATTGGCATTTTCTGTCAAGTAATTAGACAACATCATCTTCTTTTGAAATGACAGGAGTTCTAAAAGTAAAAAAATCATACAAAAAATACAAAAAAAAACTTGCTACAGGCACAATCAGTTTTTAGTAATAGCAAAAGTCACTTTTAATTGTAAAACCAGTAAATAGTGGTTACCAAAGTGAGAAGCTGGTTTCTCAAAAATAAGATGCACTGCCTGGAACAAAGGGCATTATTAGAAAAAAAAAGATGCTGCTATTTCCAGATGGTGCCTGCACAGCACTGCACAAGTTGATGGACCTCCTAATTAGAATCATAGAATCTATGATATCGCTAAGGTTGGAAGGGACCTCAAAGATCATCTAGTTCCAACCCCCCTGCCATGGGCAGGGAAACCCTCCAATTCAAGTCTCCTAAATCCTATAAAAAGGCTTGAGGCTTGTAATAGAAAACAATTAAAATATTCCCTCTGAAAAGTTTAAAACAAGACAAGATGTGTTTTCTCTTCCATAGCAGTACGGTTTGCTTGGCTGTCTTCTGCTGTGCTTTAGTTCTCAGGACTCACATCTCTGTCACATTGCACCTTACAGAATGGTAGAAATGGCTATGGTAGGAAAGCAACTGAAAACACTTCCCCCTTGAATCCCCAACTGAAATCTCTCTAACTTCTAATTTAACTCAGAATTAAATCCTGAAAAAAGCCTAGCTCTGTGACCCACTTTGGGTACCGTCATGATAATTCTTGTCACTTGATTGCTGCTCTTTTTGCTAAAGTTTTGTAAGATTTTGTCCTTAAAAATTTCTGCAAGCTATTTCCAAAAAATAGCCTCTAACCAAACCAGATCCTAATTTCTTTTCAACCACTCAGTTAATCTTTAGAGACATGTGTGGTCACTTTTAACAAAAAGAGAAAGACTATGCCGTACTCAGACAGGCTTTTCCTTTGTACATACACTACGCAAACATTTTGCATTTATGTAAGTACAACTGAATATCTGGATTTTAAAGCTCTCGGGCTAACCAGGATTTTAGGAGCATTACTACTATACTGTCAAACACATGCACTGTATAGCATTTAAGAAGGCTTTCCATTAACCTTTTCTATGCTAGTATTGCTATTTAAATAAGATCTTTCAAATGAGATGGGGATAACGGGGGAGAAATTAATGAATACAGAGTATCTTAAAAAAAATATATATACAAAGAGAAAAGGCATGAAAGAAGGTGTTAAAACCATTCATCACTCTTACTATCAATTAAGAATTGCTTAGGTGTTAAAATACCAGCATTAAGATCCGAGTCCCTGATGCTACTATCAAAAAGAAATCCTGACCATCCAAGGCTTTGCTCCAGGTAAGATCAGAAGCATAAGGTGGAAATTTCTTCCCATAATCTTCCTGATAGGTGACTTACTGCACAGATCAGGGCAGCGCTTAAGCAAATTCCTTAAATCACATTTATGCCACTTCCAGGTACTTTTCAACACGCACACTTCTCACAGTCACGATTTACCAGCCTGGATGTCAGGTAAACAGGGAACCGTGCACACAAAAGTAGCCACAGAGGTGACATGCCATACTGAGGAGAAGTAATTTTCATTCAAAGACTGCTGCTCCTCCTTCTTCAATCAGGACACCATTACAGTAAACTGCTGACTTCATGGATGAAGCACCATTAAGTAGAACTAAAATTGTGAGTACAGTAAAGAGTTATAGCATGGATGTGGAACATACCAAAAAAAAAAAAAGGCTCATGACACTTGCACAAGCAGGAAGAAAAAAAAAAAGATTTTTTTTTCCAATTCTTATTTGGCTCAGACACTTCTACCTTGTGATTTAAAAAACTCTCTCAATGAACGGTGCTGCTTTGCCACCTTCTCCTCCAGGGTCTGTCCTATCCTGCAAGCCTCACAAGGAACCCTAGCGTGAGCTGTAGGACCTACTGTGCTCCCCAACAGCTCTCACACTACATCTACTGCAGCTCTGTCTGCTTTCCTGCCTCTTTGTTACGCTCTACGAGTCCCAGGTAGGAGCTTGGATCACCTACAGAGCAAAGTCAAGCCAAGACAGAGAATTAATACAGAATTAGGGCTTCATTGGCCGAAAGTTAACCAAGAAGAAAGTCTTTTTTGCACAATGCCAAACAGGCTACCTTGAAAGAGCAAAGAAAGGTCGCAGGGGAAAAAAAATAAAATCAAGAGAGGTTCCGGCTTCATGATTATCTATACTCAACACCAGTTCAGATCTGCACAGCAGCAATAGATCCCCAAGGAATACCCAAAATGCTCCTTTGCACCTGTGCAACAAGAGCACAACAAGGTTAACACCACTCTCAAGGCAGTCCCTCAACCTGCTGGAGACGGCTCTGGCCCCCAAGGAGAGAGACATGTAAGATGCTCTTCCACCTTGGTGCCTGGGCTAAAAGGCAGCTGCTATTTTGAATTACCTTAAACTGAAGGCAAAAGTTTTAGTTGCAGGAGAGGGAAGAAATGAGATCGTAAATTCTGGTCACAGTCTAAAGGTTTGTCTTGTTGACTTTCACATTAATTTCTTTTTCATGGTTTTACTAAAACTGATTTGAATCTTAAATAAAGACTAATAATTCATTTCATTCTTCACTGACTACTGCTTTTTCATTAACAGGTGATACTTAAAATAGTACAAAGGATGTATCCAGAACTCCAGTTAAAGAAACTAAATTATCATTTTCTGCATGAATCAAAGATCTGTCATCTCAAAAATTGTAATTTCAAAGTGATAAATATGCTGCAGTCA